AATATTCACTACAAGCGTCGACATGATCTAGAAATCCCTGGTGTCGAGTCTATCTGGATTGAACGTGTTACTGCTACAAGACACATACTTTTTGGAGTATTCTACAGACCTCCCAACACAACAGCTTACACACACAATTGTATTGAGGACTCGATACATCCTGCAGTGGTTACAGGCATTAAGGATATCATCATAACTGGTGATTTCAATATAAACATGCTGAATCCAGAAGAACTGAAAGACACAAACATATGCCAATAATATTTCTGATGTCATTTTAAAATGTTCGAAATCTTGTATTCCAAATAAACAAATAACAGTTCGTCCAAGTGACCCTCCATGGATAACATCATACTTAAAATTCCAAATACGACGTAGACGCAGAGCATACAGAAAAGCGAAACGAACAAACAATGCAGCTGACTGGACAAAATTTAGATGTCTGCGTTATCAATAAATTTCAGATATAAGAAAAGCTAAAGATGAGCACATCCAAAAACTTGCTGCAAACCTTCAAAATACATCTAGGTCAACTATGTCTTAGTGGTCTTGTCTAAAATCTTTTATAAAACCATCAAATGGCTCTTCAACAATATCGCCGTTGCAAGACGGTGACGATCTATTTGAAGATGAACAATGTAAAGCTGATATTCTTAACAATTATTTCCGTGGTCAAACCATTTTAGATGTAAACCCTACACAGATTATTGAAGAAGAAGAGCTTTCCGCTCATAAATTAGATTCAATTGTTACGTCAGCAACCGAAGTAGAGTCAATACTACAAACGCTTACTTTAGGTAAAGCATCGGGCCCTGATGGAATTAACAACAGGGTTCTAAATGAACTTTCCAAAGAATTGTCTATTCCTTTTTCAGATCTATTCAATCAGTCTCTTCGCACATCTAGATATCCACAAGCGTGGAAAGAAGCCAATGTCAATCCAATTTTCAAATCCGGAGATCGATCTTTACCTGGAAACACATCTTTATCAGTTGGAGAGAATGAAAGTATATTCAAAGCTGTTCACACTTATATTGAAAAGTCTAAACGTTTTGACTGATCTGAAAATGTCCATCATCTTTATGAATGTGTCATTCTGCAGTTCGCCCAATTCTATAGCTTCACACTTCTTTATATCTTTAAATGTTCTCATATTTTCTTCTTTACTCGAATTTCATTCCTAATTTAAACTTCTTTACACTTCTATATGTTTTTCTTTCGATTTTTTTTCTTTATCTTGGATGTAACAATTTATTAAATCATCTGTATCGCCAAAATATGTACCGATGTATAGCTAGAAGTGGAGAGAATTACAATAAGCTTTGAGCTTCCAGTTCAATCCACTTTATCATGATTTTGTATAAATTTTGTGTTTGATGTGAATATTGTAACTTGATGAAAAAATAAATATGTTTAAACCAACCGGGATTTTGTTTTAGAATAGTTATACCTATATTTAAACATTTATTTACGTTTCTTTTGTTTGTTTGTTTTTTTTGTGAAAATCACACACACAAAATTCACTCATAACCCCCTTTTGAAAAACAAGTAAAACGCCACGTCACACCCCGTGGAGTACGCATAACTTTTTGTCAAAATGTTGTAATTTGTTAAATCATAAGTGTCAGAAATATTTTCTGTCATTGTTCTACCGGAACCTGACGTTATTTTTCTCTGGATGTCAAATATGTCCATTCGTTATACCTTATCAAAGATTAGACTCTTTGTTTTTATTTACATGTAAACGAATGTGTAAAAAGTACTTTCAATCAGTATTAACCCAGCAAAGGCATCTTCTCTGCCTTTCCGTCAAACATAGGATAAGGTGGGGTGGGGATTAGTTTACCTAAAAATAAGCAATTTTCACGTTCAGTGTGGCCAAAAAATCCATTCGAAATATTTCAAAATCTTTTACACAGGCAGTTAACCAGTTGCACAGTATTAGGCAATGATATAGGCAATACATTGAAAAAATACAGTTTGCATGTATTTTTCCTAAAAATACAAAACCAATATGGGCCATCTTGATGATACTTTATGCAGGATTCTCCAGACTCTACCCGATTCACATAGAAATGTCACTTACACACAGTGTAATCAATTGTAATTTCAAAAATGCCAAATTAACTGTCAGTCATATGTGTAGATTTTTTTCACAAAATTTATCCAAAGTTTCTTATTTGTTAAGAGCAAATTGTCAATGCCTAATTTTCAATTTTTAAACATCCATTCGAAATCCTAAATACATACAAAGCTACAATAATGTTAAGCTTCGGTTAAATATCTAAAAAACAGACCAATTCCTACAAATAAATTACAAGAATTTCAATGAAAAAAATGAAGTATCTTCATTTGAATATAAATTTGACCGGACCAAAGTTCGAATATGTCCCCTGCATCTAAGAACCTCGAACAAAGTAGTTAGAACACACGGTATTTCGGTTTAACTTACGCTAAGAGACTAAACAAATAGTAATGTAATGTTTGAAGTTAATCACCAAGTTCATTCCAATACGATATCGTATATCGAGTAAAAGTACATTTATACAGATCTTTGTTTATACACTTATTATAATGGTTGCAGAAACAGAACGAACAAAATGTCTACATGTCGTCAATAATTCGAATATGTTTACAATTGTTCATCTGAGTGCTTTTTAAAACTGATATTTATTGTCAAACACAGTTTCAATCATAATTTTACCAACAATAACAAATACTTTATTTTCCTTTTGATGTCAAACATATATATATGTAATACAATAATTATTCTCTTTTTTCTCATGAAAAGGAAGAACTTTGTTAGTCATCACTTGAATAGTTGCAGGCGACAGACATTAGTAAAATTATTTTTGAACAAAACGATACAAACACAGCAAAGTTTTGTTACTGCAATGAGATGGAAAATATGTTATTCCTCAATAAATTCTATTCTTGCTTGTTTATTTTATTACTTCGATTGTGCAATTAAATAGTGCTCCCCGTCCAGTGGGAAGGGTAGACATGTTTTATTGCCTCATAAAAGCATTGTATAGTCTACTTCAAGGTCAGTTAAAGCCGATTTCAAACAACATTGTTAGGGTTTTGAGTGCAATTCACATAATTTATCGGTTACGACAATCAATCTCTCGCAAGTCGGCATCATACATTTGCATGTCATTCAATTATAGGCTCTTAGGGGTGTAGGAAATGTACCATGATTCTTAATGCCTTCAATTGTGTTTCTCATAACCCGTCTTAGCTAAAGGAGTGAGTCACTGCATAACGTAAATGCTATTTCCAGATGTTTCCTTCCTTAAGTAACGTTAACATACCTTTTATCACACATGATTACAGTAATACAGATTGCATTGATTTAAGATGAAAGAGAATGTCAGAAATTATTATGAACTTAAATTCGATCATTAAAGTGACCGATCTTAACCATCACTTGTTAATTTCTTCATAGCATAGCAACCGCAGCTCATATTTTCACAAAATTATTAAGGTGTGTAGTAAATTTTGGCGATCTTTAGGTCACAAAGTCGTTATGTTTTTAGACGACGGCATTGGAGGTAATGCGGATTTTCAGCAAGCTGACATTTCAAGTTTGTTCATTCAGAAAACTTTAAATGAATTGGGATTTTTGATAGCTCAAGCAAAATGTAATTGGTTACCGTCTCAACATGCTAGCTGGTTGGGGCATGATTTAAATTTTTTGTCGAATAGATTGTTTATCAGTTGTGAGAGAATTAAACGTCTCGAATCATCTATAGATGTTTTGTTGTTAATGCTCAGGGCTGAAAATACACAACTTATTCAAGTGAGATCTTTAGCCTCAGTTGTAGGCCAGGTGATATCACTGCTTAGTGTCATGGGGACAGTAGTTTGTCGCAAAACGAGGTATTTGCATAAGTGTATAGAAAATAGAACAAGTTGGAATAGCAAAGTAAGTGTGACAGACACTTTACAAGAATTGTTGTTTTGGCGAGAAAATGCGTCGGGTATGAAAAAAAAGGTAAAATCTGGAAAGAAAAGTTAGTAGTTGATGCAGTCGTGTTTACAGATGCAAGTAGATTGGGCTACGGTGGGTATATTGAGTTTGTGAATACATTTGATGGTAAGGAAGTAAGTTCAGGAAGTAAGTATGCCCAAAACTTTGAGACTGGAAGTAAAGATTTTAAGAAAGTAATAAATTCGAACCTGGTGCCCGCAAAAGAAGTAAACATTAAGTCTCCTGAGGTAGACTCAATCAAGAAATCCTGGGAGCTGGATTCGAACAAAGCATGCAAGGTAAAATGTTTAAACCACAAGTCTTCAGTAGAAGACTTAAGAAATAAGTCCCCGGAAGTGGACTTGAATTTTTCAAGGGTAAAAGTCTTGAACTGCAAGACTAATGTAATGGACATTACAATATCGTCCCCGGAAGAGGACGCTAATATAGATTCACCGGAAGTGATCTCAAGTTACGTGTCTTTAGTATATGACACGAGGATAGACGGGCTCCCGGAAGTGAGCTGTCGTTTTAGTGGGTTCCCGGAAACGGACCATTTTTTTTCCAAAATAATGTTTTAGATGGGCATTGTATGTATGATAGTGATTTGTATGAATTTTCAGATCGTTATGCAGATTACGAACATGATCAAGGGTTCAGTGTTAGAGGGAAAGTATCACATTTAGTTGGCGCATGGCATGCGCAAGAAATAAAAAGTAGTTCTACATGGAGAGAATTAGAGGCAATGTATAGGATGTTGTTAAGTAATCTTCCGAAACTACATGATAAGAGTATCAAATTTTTTACTGATAACAAAAATTTAAAGTTTATCCTTCAATCAGGTAGTAATGTCGAGCAATTACATGAAACTTGCTTAGATTTTCACAGAACATGTGATGAGAATCAAATTACATTTGTCGTTGACTGGATTCCTCGTTCGTTAAATAGTAGAGCTGATCATTTAAGTAGATGTTTAGACTCAGATGACTGGTATATAAGCAATCATGTATTTCAGTATTGAGAGAAAATGTGGGGTCCACACCCTGTAGACCGATTTGCTACACACTATAATTGCAAGTGTCGGAGATTTAATTCAAAATGGTGGGTACCTGGTACAGAGGGTATTTATTGTTTTGATCAGGTGTGGAAGAATGAAAATAATTGGTTGGTACCACCACCAAGCGTCGTTGCTAAGACGATAGTAAAACAAGAAATAGAGAAGTGTGTTGGTACACTTAATGTTCCAAAGTGGAAGTCTGCACCATATTGGCCTTTATTGGTAGATACACAGGGACAATTTAAAGATTTCATTAAAAATACATTTGTGTTACCCTTTACAGGCGCAGTTTGTAGAGGCAAGGGAAACAACGGTGTTTTCAGCAAAGAACCGTTTTCTTTCAGAATGATGGCATTGCGGTGCGACTGTACAAGCTAAAAGATTTAAATATTTAACAGATAAAAAACGTATAGTACAGTCAATTTTCAAGATTGTTTAATATGCTTAATATATTTTCAGGTGTTGGCTTAACACGAAATCTGAAAAATCAATTTCTGGATGCCGGAGTTCCAGTGAGAAATATTGATAATGTAGTGGGCAGGATGGCCGATCAAATTTTACATTCCAGAGCGGATGGAACTATTTCAAAGTATTATTCACATGTTAAACAATTTAAAGAGTTTTGTTCAAAACACGGATTTCAAGCTTACCCAGCTTTTCCTATCCATGTAGCGATGTATCTTTCGGAGTTAATAGATTTACATAAATCTGACACTGTTGTTTCAGCAGCGTTTTACGCAATTAGGTGGTTACATGAAATAAACGATTTAACTGATCCCACAAAGAATGCCATTGTGATTAGAATGCTTGAATGTGCAAAAAGAACAAACTCTAAGCCTGTACAGAAGAAAGATGTTTTATTGCCGGAACATTTAGTGAAACTTTGTGACTTATTTTCAACAACAAAAGACATTATAGTTTTAAGAGACTTAACAATGATTCTTTTGTGTTTTGCTGCTTTCTTTAGATATAATGAAGTTAGTGATTTACGATGTTGTGATGTTAAATTTTTTGCTGATTACATAGAGGTTTTTGTTAAGAAAAGCAAAACAGATGTATATCGAGAAGGCAAGTACGTAGTAATTGCTAAAGGGGTCACTAGTGCGTGTCCGGTTGCTATGTTACAACGATACATGAATTGTGCCGGTTTGTGTTCTAATTCGGATATGTATTTGTTTCGTCCAGCGTGCAGATCTGGTTCGAGATGTTTTCTTTTAAAGAAAGACAAAAAGCTTAGTTACTCTCGCGCACGTGAATGTATTGTTAGCAAGTTAAAATAAGTCGCGCTAGACATGATTTTGGGTACGCATTCATTACGCGCAAGCGGAGCTTCCGCGGTCGCGAACACAGAAAGTGTTTCAGAACGTTGCCTTAAGCGACATGGAAGATGGAAGTCTGATTTAGCTAAAGATTCATACATAAATGATTCTATTCAAAAGAGATTGTCTGTTTCTAAGACGTTAATGTTATAAACATATGTCTAATATACAAGTATACTATTAGATCTAGTTGTTTTGTATTTAAATGATGACATGTATATAAATACAAAGAGTCTAGTTTAAGCTGTAATATTTTGTTTTATGATACATAATTGTAATTAAGTACGTGCATCGTAGTATGTAAGAAAAGTAGCTTTTTAAACTAAATTTGCATGCTAGGACGTAGTCCGTAGATCCTATATTCGGAGGAATGGACGATTCAAATCGCTCAGCCAGGCGTTCTTTATATCTGGCGGTGCTGGGGTCGTGCGCATGAACTCATGCCTTAATGCCAGCGTTGACAGGTCGAAAGTTCTCCGTGTTACGGACACACGTTTTTTTTCTCAAAAAAGAGGTTTCGGTTCGTGGACGGCTGCCATTCCGTAGATGAATATCCATCAGATTCTGTGGTTTATGTTGTAAATGTTGTAAAAGTAACCGCAGAGTGATTTGGAGCATTTAACATTAAATATCAAAATTTATTGAAGTATTAAGTTTAATGCAAGTGCATTTATTGATATATTTCATTCAATATGTATGTATATTCTTAAATGTATAATGTATTCCTCCAGCAATAAACTTGAATAAAGCCTATCGAAGTCTTGCCCACTGCAACATTGTGTTATGTTATTTGTGAGTAGGCATGTTAAGACCTGGTTGGTTCAAGGAAATAATTCGAGAGTGTTTCAATAAGCTTATACTTCCAACACATTCGAACTAAAACTAAGAAAACTGTGAACCACTGTAAAACTGTTTTAAATTGGCCTTGGTTTCACAAGCAAAACCAATTTTAATAACTAGAGATGGACCTAAAAGTGGTTCATAGGAATCATAGCCCGATCCACAATATACATTTTGTGACTTTCTGGTGTCTGACGTAAATTTAAATTCCACTTACAAATAGAGCAATTTATTATTAACTAGATAGTTTCTTTACAGTTCATTTTTACTCTCGATGTAAATTGTTTATGTTTTATATAATGAATGCCATTTTAGATCTTAGGGAATTACGTAAACAATCAAAATTTATTAAAATCTAAATTTACAGGAAGATTCCAAATGAGAACGTTTTGTTGGTATAATAAATCCACGGATTTTTAAACACGTACCTGTAGAGGAAAATACCACACTGAAAATCCGAAAAAGACAATGTAAAAAACCGTGGTAATGTAAAAATACTTTTGTTAAAATTGACATAATAATAAATGGTACGATTTATCAATGGTTATTTATCTTGAAAAATAGAACACTGTAATAGCATGTGTTCCTAGATGAACTATCTTGATTCGGTAAGGGAACCTAATTTCTAACAACAACACTACCAACATCTACGTAAGAGATAAAGTGGACAAGCACAGGTAGGTATCAACTTTCAGGTGCCCAATTAACGTGTCCATAACGTAGTCACTAGGCACACATATATAGAAAAACTTGATTAATATGCAAAATATATGAACATTATAGATTTTATATCAACTGAACATATAAATGATCATATAAGGTATTGGACACTTATTGAACGTCATAAACTTAGGGTACCTGAGTTCAGTGTGTGTTTTTTCGATATTTTAAAGTACATGAGTACACTTAGATGATCGTGAACGTTAGAGGTGGTCTAGTTATTTTTAAGAAACTTTAAATCTCCGGAAGTTCTTATGTAAAATCAACTCAGTAAGTTCTTCTGTAAAATAAAATTTTCACATGAAAATGTTATGAGATCTTAACGAATGGTAAAATGTTTTGTGGGGAAGTATAATCAAACAAAACTTAAACATCTTAGCCATTGAGCTAGAAAGTTAGAAAATTACTGTACATTCTATATTAGAAACATCCTTTACATTTTATTTTTAAAGGCAAAATCGATCCTTTATATTTCATGTTAGAAGTATCCTGAACTCTTTTTAGAATTATAGCAAGAACTATCCTAAGAATATCTTTGATTTCTTTCTTAAAATATTTTATACTGGTTTTGTGTGATGTTTCTCTGTCAAGTATCTGCATTCTCTATTTCTGAGTAACGTTTGGTCAATAGCACTTAATTTTTAATCGTCGTTTACCAACATAACAACAAGTCCCTTTCAATTTCTGAAAGAATTTAGATAAGCTGAAACTATTGTACAGATGAAAAGGCATGTATATAATGAAAACAACAACCACAACTTAAAAGTGGTCAAAATTTAACAGAAACAGCTCTAGACACAAACAAAGAACAAGTACGGGAAATATCAACACTCTTTTGATGTGGGAGTTTCTATTGTTATGGCAAATTGTTTTTAGAGCATGATGAACTGTTCAACAACTTCAAGGGCTCACAAACTTAATGAATCTTATCGGCTCTTAAGTGCACTACTTTATTTTGAAGTGTCCAGTATACAATGTGGTTACTGACATGGCGGAATGGGAAATATTTATTCGAGAAATTGAAAACATTTTATATCGGTCTGTACTTATAACTTGTGTGCAAAATTTCAAATCATTCGCTAACTCAGTTACTCTTCATGAATCATCTTTATTGTGCAAAATAAAAAGCGTTTAAACGTGTTTTACAATATCGATTTTCACAAACTGTACTGTGTCCTTTCTTATAGATTGCAGTTTTGATATATTTAAGGTTTCCAAGTTTTATGTTTTTAGGCTTTCGGTCCTCTTCCTTTATTAAAAACAAGAGCTGCCGGAAGGACATCACGCTTGACTATTCTCAGTGCTAAATAGCAGAATAGCCTTGATAATGTTCAAAAGGAGCCTGAATGCTTTGTTTTTAAATCCAGGTTACATTTATAGGCCTTAGAGAGTGTCATTTTCTGCTCTCAAAGAAGTGCATAAAACTTCAACTCGTTTCATAGCCAGATGTTAATAAAATATGAAAATATTTGAGATGGTAGCCAACTTTAACGTAAATTCTAAGTCAAGAAGGGACGTAATTCTGTTAAGATGCTTGATAGAGTTACTTCCTTCTGTCTTTTAAAAGGTTGGGGCATGCTCGTGAATAAGTGTTCAAAGTTTCAAAGCCATTTGTCAACACAATATGAAAAGTATATAAGATGACACACACATTTTAACATAAATTCTAAGCAAAACGGGGCATAATTCTGTCAAAATGTTTGTTCAGAGTTACCTCCATCTGTTTTAAGGTTGGGGGCATGATGGTGTACAAGTTTGCAAAATTTCGAAGTCATATTATGTCAATACAATATGATAATATTTGAGATGGTACGCAAAATTTAAAGTATATTTTAAGTCAAAATGGAGCATAATTCTGTCACCATACGTGATCTGTTGGGACTATAATGATGAACAAATGTGCAAAGTTTCAAATCCATATGTCAATGGACTCAGAATATGTGTTGGTACGCAAACTTTACGCCAACGCTTGGGTGACTAGGATAGCTCTTCTACTTCTTATCAAATACTAGTAGTCACATCCTTCCTTATTTTATCTATAAAACGCAGTAAATACTTAACGGGATGAACAATAGATAAAGATATCAAAATTATTAGAAAATATGTTGATACAGGAAATAAATACAAATGTGGAAATTGACTTTATATACATGTTTTATTGTTTTAAGAAAGTCAACCTGGAAGAGATATTGGTGTATGAAGAAGAAATCAAGCGTTTGTTAAACTTAAAACGCCAAATCTTAAATAAGCATGTCCATTGTTAATTATTGACAAAAAAATCAAACAACATTAATCATTTTAGGGAAAAAACAAAGTAAGTACGGACATGCCAGCTGTTAGTGGTCTACGGGTAATGTAAGTTGTGCCGGTTGATCATGGTCTGAACAAGTCGTACGAGCAATGTAAGTTGTGCTTGATGATCGTGGCCTGCACTTGTCGCTCGGGTTATGTAAAGTGCCGGCTAATCGTTGCCTGCACTGGTCGCAAGGGTTATGTTAGTTGTGCCGGCTAATCGTTGCATGCACTGGTCGCAAGGGTTATGTTAGTTGTGCCGCTAATCATTGCCTGCACTGGTCAAGGGTTATGTAAGTTGTGCCGGCTAATCGTGGCCTGCACTAGTCGCAAGGGTTATGTTAGTTGTGCCGGTTACTCGTTGCATGCACTGGTCGCAATGGGTTATGTTAATTGTGCCGGCTTATCGTTGCCTGCACTGGTCGCACGGGTTATGTTAGTTGTGCCGGCTAATCGTTGCCTGCACTGGCCGCAATGGTAATGTAAATTGTGCCGGCTGATCGTGGTCTGCACTGGACGCACGGGTAATGTAAGTTGTGACGGCTGATCGTGGCCTGCACTGGTCGCAAGGGTAATGTAAGTTATGCCGGCTGATCGTGGTCTGCACTGGTCGCACGGGTAATGTAAGTTGTGCCGGCTGATCGTGGTCTGCACTGGTCGCACGGGTAATGCAAGTTGTGCCGGCTGATCGTGGTCTGCACTGGTCGCACAGTTTATGTAAGTTATGCTTGGTGATCGTGGACTGCACTGGTCGCAAGGGTAATGACAGTTGTGCCGGCTGGTCGTGGCCTGCACTGCTCTTAAAGAAGTGTATAAAATTTCAACTTGTTTCATAGCCAGATGTTAATATTGGAAGCGGTACGCAAACTTTACGCCAACACTCGGGTACCTAGGATAGCTCTACTTATTCTTATCAAATAGTCGCATCCTAAAAAACGCAGTAAATAGTTAACGGTAAATCAGTCTGGATATACA